GACCAACCTCATCCCGCCCCCTTGACCTGTCCGTCCTCCCTGGACTGACCTATCCCCTTCCTAACTCCCTACCTACACTCACCTTTCCTGGCCCCATCCCCGCCTCTTCGACCTGTTTGTTTCTTCTCCACCTATCCTCTCCTCTATCCCTCTTCTATCCGCCTCCCACTCTCTCCCTATTTATTTCAAAACCCCCTTCCCCTCCCCCTTTTCTGATGAAGATCTAGGCCCAAAACGTCAGCCTTCCTGCTCCTATGATGCTGCTTGGCCTGCTGTGTTCATCCAGCCTTGCACCTTGTTGTCTCGGATTCTCCAGCATCTGCAGTTCCTACTATCTCTAAAACAAACAAAGAGTAGCTTTAAGAGTAGTGTCTCCATTTCCAGGAAAAGGTGGACTCATAGAATTCTTCCAGCCTACTGCTGGTTGCGGATGTCTCTTCAGATTTGATTGCTGAAGCTAAGGGTCGTGCAAGTTTTGAACCAGTGGTGTCTAAACATTTTGCATCTGAAAAGGACGATGAGTATTGAGTGGGAAGTGGGATGGGTTTTGGATTTTCTAGGGCCCACAGGGTTTCTCACCCTCTTCCTCTGGGACCGTTTCAGTCAGACAGCTACATAGTGAACAATGGAAACGTCACAGATTTGCAACAAGTGGCACCCTGTTGTGCTCGGAATGAAGGGAATTGTTGGGGCAGTGGGGAGGGAGTCTCACTTTGGTTGTACACTTTAGTCGTGAATACTGAAGACCTTGGCAACATTCAGTAGGTCAGGCAGCATTTGTGGAGGGAGAGAAAAAAGAGTTCACAGCTGGAATTAAACCAAACTCTTGCCAATGGTCTAGGGGGCAGATGGTGCCCAATGACCTCCCACAATCTTGTTGTTTTACTGCCTTGGCTCACGGCTCTCCGGTAGACCAATTGAGCTAATTGACTAGTTTTCAATGCCTCTTCTGGAATACAGAGGCATATAGCCTGCATTGCAGGGGGGCTTCTTACAGGGTCCAACTTGCTTCCCACCTAAATACCGATATGTTTCTACTTCCCTTCTTCGATAGATTTTTGACCCAGTTCCCAAATTCCACCTTCACGCCAGAAATCTGTGCCTTTAACTCTGTTCCTTTCTCGACAGATGCTGCCCGACTTGCTGAGCTTCCCTAGCACAATTGGTTTGAGTTTCTGATCTCCAGCATCCACGCTGTTTCGTTTCCATACTATAGTTGCCTGGGGTGTGTTTAATGATGTCCTGCATTGCAATGGGTATAAATTCTCATTTCCAAGCATCGACATTGCTCAGCTCAATACGTAAAATCAGTTGTTAAAAATGCTGTAAACACTTAAATAGGTCCTGACAGTACATGAGTGATTCAGATTTATAGCGTCAGAAGTTGCACGACATCAGGTTACAGTCCACCAGGTTTATTTGAAAACACAAGCTTTCGGAGCACAGCTCCTTCATCCAGTGACTTCACCTGATGAAGGAGCAGCACTCCAAAAGTTTGTATCTTCAAATAAACCTGTTGGACAATGACCTGGCATCATGTGATTTCTGACCTTGTCCACCCCAGTCCAACACCAGCACCTCCACATCAGATTTACAGCTTCAGTTTTCAAACCAAAAGTCTACATCAACCAGTTTGGTAGAATGTTGAATCTGTGAGGCTGATAATATGCAGTCTTTACAAAGTACTGGAAAGTTAACCCTGCCTTTCAACGTGTCCTAATTGATGGTTATCCCTCAGTTTTTCTCTCTGTGCAGTATACGTATTGTACAAGAGTTAATGGTTTATATTGTAGTACCAATATGGATCATGCCTCAAGAATAACCTCACGCACAATGTACGGTCATGTGAGATCAGCACTCCTGTGATTGGGCAAGCATAATTCAATACAGCTACACACAGAAGATGGTAAGCAAGGCTATCTTATCAGGAACTTGACAGACCCAGGCTTCAGCTCTGTTTGAAATGAAAACAGAAAGTGCTGGAGAAACTCAGCAGGTCTGGCAGTATCTGTGCAGAAGGAAACGGAGTTCACCTTTTGATCCTGTTGTGGCTCTTTTTCAGAACTGTTTCCAATTCCATTTGATCTGACGTCACTGTGATATAACACATTAGGCACAATCTCAAGATTTACAGCCTCTCTCACTGTAGTGTTATCCTTGTAAGATGTCTTCACATCCCTTTTAAAACACTAACAGTTGAGTACCTGGTGTCATTAGCCATAAGTTTCAGAACAAAACATTTGCATCACAATGTAGACAGCTCGAGGTATAGGTTTCTGGCAGCATGGTAAATGGTAAGGCTCAGGTTTGGATGTTGTGTAATCTTTCATGCGCGGTCTCCATTTATCACACCCTCACTCCCTTTGACAATGAGGTCATCTCCATCTCTTTCAGGAACCTCTGTCATTCAGGTCACAGCTACGGACGCCGATGACCCATCCTACGGGAACAGTGCCCGGCTCGTGTATAGCATTCTGGAGGGTCAACCTTACTTCTCAGTTGAGCCTCAGACAGGTATGAGCATCACTCTTTCCAATGAGCAGGATGGTGGAAGGGCTGATGGACTGTTAAAAATCGGCTCACAATGTGGTTGGTTTACAAGACAAATGAAGCCGCACTTCAACAGTACAGTCGGCTTGTTCAAGATTTATAGTTTGCCAACTCTGAATGAATACATTCCGGGAGGTTTTCAACACTTAACCCCAATCTCCAACATTTTGATAATACACAAATGGGTTCAAAGAAAGAACCAGATATTTTCACTCTGCTAAGGACTTTTTTTCCCGCTTGTAGGATACAGCAGGCTCCTAGACAGTAATCTTTAATTTCATGGGCTGTCAGGATGATTTTAAAGGTTTAGCAAACCCCAGGCAAAACACATCTGGAATGCTGCATTCATGTCTTGGCCAAAAGGATGTAATAGCCTTGGAAGACAAGCAGTACAGATTCACTGAAACAATATCAGAGTTAATTTATAAGGATAGGTTGCATAAACTTGGATTGTGCTGCTTTGACTTTAAAGGGAATGGCAGAGTAGTGTTGATGTTACTAGACTAATTCAAATGGAGATGAGTTCAAATTCTATCATGGTGACAAGAAAAGTAAATTTGGATTACCATGCTAGTCTCATTATTACTAATTATGCATGTTGTGTTATGCCTCATGGTCAGTATGCCTTTTAAACTCACAGTATGTCAGTATGCCTTTGGCCGACATGATATATTTTCTATCATAGTCTGCTCCTAATGTGTATAGATCTCAGACACCATCTTCACTGCAGCGACTTGTGGCATGGAACACTTATGGAAGCATATGCTCGTTGTCAAGTAGTAACCTAATGTTAGCTCAGACATGGGTGTGTTCGTGAAGGTATTATTTGTATATATTCGTGAGCTGCAATAAATGCCTGTTGGATCTTTCAATAAGACCATTAGAAATAAGAACAGGAGGTAGGCCACTCAGCCTGCTCCACCATTCATTAGGATCACGGCAGATCCTACATTCCCCATGTCCATTTTCCTGCATTTTCCCCATAACCCTTGATTTCCCAAATGATGAAGAATCTTATCTATCTCAGCCTTAAATATACACAAGGACCTGCCCCCACAGGGGACAAGGAGTACCAAAGACATAAGCAAAGACATCCCTTCTCATCTCTGTCTTAAATTGGCACCCACGTACCTATGTGCTAAGTCTGCTGTGTTACAAGGGGTGACATAAACATTGCTGCAGCAGGTAAAGATATCCGAAAAAAAAACACATCAATGCAGCTTCTGGATTACTGAGAAAACCCAACTGGTTAGCCAATGCACTCCAAGCGAGGGAAATCTGCCATTTCTACCCAGCCTGCTTTGCATGTGACTCCAGATCCACAGCAATGCAGTTGACTTTGAACTGTCCATGAACAAGCCACGCTTAGCACCTACACAATGTAGACTGTAGTATTTTGAGGAAGTGGCTCACCACACTTTTGAGGACAGATTGTGATGGATATTTAATAATGACTTGCTGGCAACATTTACATCCCAATATTGAATATCACTAAAAAAAACTGAAGGACGATATAGTTGAGATATTGAGGCACTAAACTGCATTGCTGGAGAGGGTAGTGGAGTCGGCCTCATTAGGGGCATTTAAGCGGCTATTAGATAGGCATATGGATGATAGTATAAGGTAGGGGTGGAGTTTAGATAGACCTTAGGATTAGTGTAAAAGTTTGGCACAACATCATGGGCCGAAGGGCCTGTACTATGCTGTAATGTTCTATGTTCTATGTTCTAAACTGTTTAAAGGGTGTCGGGATAGAGAAAAATAGTTTCCTTTGTTATTGGAATGAAAAGTTAGAGTCTTCAAAATAGGAGCGATTGTTCATTCATAGGATGGTCAAAATCTGGAACTGTCTCTCAAAGAAAACTATGGGCATTGGGAACGTTTAGTACATTCCAGACTGACACTGGTACGTTTTGGATAGGTGAGGGTATCGAACAATGTGAGGTGGGTGGGGATAAGTAGCTTTGTGATGCAGATCAGTCAGGGTTTTATTAGATAATAGAACAGGCTTGAGGGGCTGAATGGCCTACTTCTCTTCCTGTTATTTATTACACTACTGCCATGAGGTTGAATCTCAGGTATATATGAATCGTACTCCTGACTCATGTTTAACACCTATCACTCCACCGAATAGTGAATTCAGAACTTTCTAAAATGGAAAAGCGTGGATTTCTTTCTGAAAATAGATATAGTATTTACTCAGAGCTTAAGTTGTGACTCTCCTTTCCTCTGGAATCTTCACCTAATTTCTCTATCGCTACCGCACTGCTTTTGCAATCCTCCTCAAAAATTGGCAAGTCAACATTAAACACCCATCCCAATCTTCCCTTGAAAGTATGGTAAGCCTCCTCCACAAAATGCCACAGCCATCATAGGTGCTAACTACAGCAGTGTGTTTGGATGCCCACTCTATCCATAAGTCAGATACTTTAGAGACTTTTAAGCGACTCTTGGATAGGCACATGGAGGATAGTAAAATGTAGGGTATGCAGGGTAGATTGATCTTAGTAGGGTAATAGGTTGGCACAACATTGTGGGCTGAAGGGCCTGTACAGTGCTGTACTGTTCTATGTCTATGTTCATTGTGTCTCTCCCCTTTCCCCACTTTCTCCTGCTTCTCCTTCCCCACCCTCTCTCAATTCCCCAACTTTTCTCTCCCCTTCTTCCAGTCACTCCACCCTTCTCTCTCTTTCTCTGTCTCTGCTCTATGCCCTTTTTTTGAAAAAAAACAAAACTGAAATACCTGGGAAAAGCGCTGTTTCTAAATGAAAATTAGGTTTGTTTTGGGACCGTAACCATGGTTAACAATACAGTTTCTCTTGAACTGTAACAGGCATTAAATAAAACTGAACCTCATTACTGTCCAGGAGTGGGAACAAAGCAACTGTAAAGCAATTTTTAAAGTTTATAAACAATATAACCTTGTGTTTTATATCACTCTGGTGGTTTGCAGAGCGTTATACAGACATTTTGTATTTGCATAATTTATTCAGATGAGGGCAGCGGGACTAATTTGCTTTTATACTTGGTCCTTGGAACTGCTTGTGAAAGAGTCTTTTAGTATTTTGGCTCTCGTCTCCTCTGAATGTTTATCTCCAGGGCTCATTCGCATATTGGCGGAGAATGAGCCACAAGGAAAGATTAGAAAGAAAACCTGCATTTTGAAAGTGATGTTCATTACCATAGGGATTCCCACAAAGCTTTGCAGACAGCCAAGCACTTTTTGTTTTAAGTGCACTGACTCTTTGAAGTGCCTTGATGAGAGGCTGAGTAACTATTCACCTTGTCTTCTGACATTCCTGTGTATCTGGACAAATTTCTTCAGTCCAAAGAGTGAGAAATGTTTGGAGCAATCTCTGCGGGAGGCCGATTCAAAAAGTGGGATTGGATTGAAAATGTCACTCACTGCCCTTGCTTTGGCTTCAAAATAGGAAGATTGTAGGTGCACAGTTTATTCCCTGGTGTAGCACAGGGAAACACGGCAGTCAATTTGCACACAGCAAACTCTGGAAAACAGCGTTGTAGTAAATGTCCAGACAATCTTGTTTCTTTTGTAATGTTGCCTAAGAATAAGTGTTGGCCAAGATTTTGGTGAGAACGCACATGTGTTTCTTCAGAGTAGCAAAATGACATACTTTTATGTCCACAGAATTAAGGTTCAGTTCAGAGTCTAATGCAAAGTGCACCTCCTGCAGCGGTGTAGCACTCCCTAACATTAACGATTGTATCCTTAAAGCCTTATGTTCTGATTTAAACCCATAATCTCCTGACTCAGAAGCAAGACCCTAAGGAGTGAACCATTGCTAACCATCTTTAAAAAAAAACAAAGAATTGTAGCCTTGACCCCTACAAGGATGATGTCTAATGACTTTAGGGACCGCATGGTGGCTCAGTGGTTTGTTTCACAGCGCTAGGGATCTGCATTCAATTCCAACCTTGAATGACTAACTGTGGAGTTTATGCATTCTCCCTGTGTCTGCGTGGCTTTCCTCCGGGTGCTCCAGTTTCCTCCCACAGCCCAAAAATGTGCAGGTTAGGTGGATTGGCCATGGGAAATTGCCCGTAGTGTGCAGTGATGTGCCGATAAGGTGAATTAGCTGCAGGAAATGCAGGGTTACAGGGATGGGGGGCTGCGTGGGTCTGGATGTGATGCTCTTCAGAGTGTTGGTACGGATATGATGGGTTGAATGGCCTGCTTCCATACTGTAGGGATTCTGTGGTCAAGCCACACCCAGCTCTACCCAATTCTCACTCGAAGTCCTGATAGCTACGAGCAGGAATCCTGATTTTTGTTCTCCTGGGATCAGTGTGCGTACAGGGCACACTGCAGGAACTCAGCTACAAGCCTGAATGAATCAAACCTCAAACTGTCTTGTTAATGTATTATTGCAGATTCACTTTCTTCATCCAAGTCATTAATATATACAGTAAATAATTGTGGCCTGAACATTGATCCCTGTAGCACTCCACCTGCTACTGGTTGCCATTGTAAAGATTTCCCATTTACATCCCAACTCTGTCTACTGACTGTCTAATTCCCTATTAAAAAGCTGATATACTATCCATAACACAAGGAATTCTTATCTCATTTAGTAGCCTAATGTATGGTACCCTACCAAATGCCATTCGAAAATCCACATGTGTAATGAGGCCAAGGTGAAATGTGGCTTGGGACCTTCTATTGTGTTAAAAATGCGATGTGAGTGTTAGTTAATGACTTTAATATCCATGAGGGTTTTAACTTCCGATGCAGCAAAGAAACCACAGGATCATGCCCACCATCTTTAACAGTAGTACACCGTCAAATGAAGAGTGTAAGAATTTAATACGTTCCTTCCTCTCTTCTCTATCTAGGCATCATAAGGACAGCTCTTCCAAACATGGATCGGGAAGCAAGGGAGGAGTATCTTGTGGTGATACAGGCAAAGGACATGGGAGGCCACATGGGAGGTCTCTCTGGAACAACAAAAGTGACAATCACCTTAACTGATGTCAACGACAACCCACCAAAGTTCCCACAAAGTAAGAAAGCTCCTCTTTCATTTTTTTCACCTTTTTGGGTGTAAAGGGCTACAAAGCCAGGGCAAGTCGAGGGAAAAACATATTGATTAGTCCTGAGCTAATTTAATTGGGGAAAATATTTGAGGTCTGAGGGCTAAAGGGATCGAAAGGGAGAGAGCAGGAACAGGGTACTGAGTTAGATGATTATATATAATGGGACAGGAGGCTTGAAGGGCCAAATGGCCTAGCCCTGCTCCTAGTTTCTATGTTTCTATGAGAGGGTGAAATACTTCCCGTTCCTTTGTTCTGAATGTCTACTGAATAATGAAGAAAAGTCTGGCCTCTCCACTGAGGCCAAACCCAAAATATTGTTCGATTTTCTGTTTCAATTTTCCAGAAGAGCTAATTTCTAAAGGAGCTGAAAGACAATGTCTCTGACAGTGCTACACCTCCCTCAGTCCAGCATTAGGAGTGCCTGCATGGAGCATATGCTGACGTTTTAGGAGTCATGCTTGACTTCACAAATTTCTAACTCTAGGAGGCGAAAGTGCTGCCATTATGTTCCTGGGAGCTGCAACCATCCATCCTTAGGTGGTCCCAAATTGTCCATGAGCTCACTCTTGCATTCCTGTAGAAAGTGTGCATGTCCTTCACTCATGATTCGTTTGGCCTGAAGCACTTATCATCCACCCAGTGCCAATATTCCACTGGTGAGATTTTCTCTTTCATTCTCAGGATGTGGGCATCGCTGACAAGGCTGTCATTCAGTGTCTATCCTTAGTTTCCCTAAGAAGGCAGTCTGGACCTTCCTCGGCAACACCTCCAGATGTTGGGCAGACCACTTAAGTTTATTTCTTTATTCTTTTAAGGGATGTGCATCTTGTTGCTTATCCCTCATTGCCCTTGAGTCGAGTGGTTTACTAAAACATTTCAGAGAGCAGTTATGAGCCAAACATAGTCGCAATGGGTCCGGATTCCTGTGTAGACCAAATCAGGTAAAAATGATGGATTTCTTTTCTTTGAGAAAATTAGTGAACCAGCTAAGTGTTTCCAACATATCCTCAGTGAGTGAAGAGCTTCATCGTCCTTTTTGTTGAGACCAGAATTTGAATTCAGCAAGGAATCCATGTGTTCACATTTCCCTGGTGGGATTTAACCTCACATTGACTGCAATCCCACAAAGGCTCAACATTGGTCAAGATAAATGAAGGAAATAGATAAGGTGGAGGCAGGGAGGTTGTTTCCGCTAGCAGGTGAAACTAGGACTATGGGTCATAGCCTCAAAATAAAGGGAAGCATATGTAGGACTGAGGTCAGGAGGAACTTCTTCACGCAAAGGGTTGTGAATATGTGGAATTCCCTTCCCAGTGAAGCGGTTGAAGCTACTCGCTGAATGTTTTTAAGGCAAGGCTAAATAAATTTTCGAACAGTAAAGGAATTAAGGGTTATGGTGAGTGGGCGGGTAAGTGGAGCTGAGTCTCAAAAAGATCAGCCATGATTTTATTAAATGGCGGGGCAGGCCCGAGGGGCCGGATGGCCTATTCCTGCTCCTAGTTGTTATGTTCTAAATCTTCACCACCGCAGCGTAGCCTGTTGATTCCTTGCAGCATGGGTCAGTTTTCGCAAAGTTATAAATGGGACACAAATTCTCACATGTAACTAATGTCACCCTAGTAAAAAAAAATCCCTTCTGAATGCAACGCATGCCATTAATTTCTCTCCAGGTGTGTATCAGATGTCGATCTCGGAAGCTGCTGATGTAGGAACAATCGTGGGACATGTGAAGGCCAAAGACCCTGACATTGGCGAGAATGGGATGGTGTCCTATAGGAGCATTGATGGGGATGGCAGAGATTTCTTTGAAATCACAACAGACTCTCAGACTCAGGAGGGAGTCATCAAACTGAAAAAGGTATCAAAGGGAATAGCAAGTGAATATGTGAATCGGATTGTTTGCCTGGTGGCGTGTTCTTTACGAACAGCCAGTGGAAATATCGACTAGGTCAAAACCATTTATAATTGTGAGCACTTTGACTGAAACTTCCCCTGACCTTTCTATTGCAAGAAGCACAATCTCAGCTTCTTTAGTTTCTTCACATATCTGAAGTGCCTCATTTCTAGCGCCATTCTCATAAGTCTCACCTTCGCCTACTCCACAACCTTGACAGAATTAGAACAATATTCTGGCTGAGGCCTATAACTGGTGATTTGTACAAGTATTGTACATCCTCGCTTTTTGTACTCCTTACATCTCTCCAGTTATAAAGCCAAGGATCCCATATGCTTTTCCTCAGCAGCTTAACACTCCAGTTGAGGAGTATCATTCAAAAGGAGCGCTGTTCAACAACTACAAATTGTGTCTGTTTAATTGACTGTTGTGCGTTGCTCATTACTGGCAGTGCGGAATTAAGTCTTTTCTTCGGTGCCAACCTTTAAGATTATCCAGACATCTTCAGGACTTGAAGTCTACCCTCCAAGTCTCTATTGGTAGCAACGTGAGAGGCAAAATCTGAAGGAAAAAAAAGAGTTGTTCCTGTTTTCTTTAAACATTTTTATTTATTCCTGGAACTGAAAGACACCCCCCGAAGGTTTGTTAGAAACAGGTTCATCACATGTTCTTAAACATAAAGGAGCTTTCATCCTTTTCCAAAAAGGAAATTGGATAAATTCTTGAAGAGGAAAGAATTTTCTGAGTAATAGGGAAAGAGCAGAGATATGGAACTATTTGGGTAGCTCTTCCAAAGAGCTGGAACAAGCATAATGGGATGAATGGCCTCTTCTTGTGCAGTACAATTCTATATTTTTTTTTATTCATTCATGGGATGAGGGCATTGCTGGATAGGCTACCCAGAGAGCAGTTAAGAGTCAACAACATTGCTATCGGTCTGGAGTCACGATAAGGCCAGACCAGTTTCCTTCCATTAGTGAACCAGATGGGTTTTTCCCCAACAATCGACAATGGTCATCATTAGACTCTTAAAGTCCATATTTTTATTGCATTCACATTCCACCATAGCAGGATTTGAACCCAGTACCCAGAAAATTATGTGGGTCTCTGGATTAATAGTCCAGTGATAATACCACTAGGCCATCACGTCTCCCACATTAGAATTAGTTGGCGAGTTGAGGGAGTGAAGGATGTCTGATTGGTGGTCAAGATTTGGTGATAAAATTTCAAAGGCAAAGAGGTGATTCGCTGTGGAAGGTCATGTCACATGACCTACAGAATTACGCTCTAATCAGAGTTGGCAAGTTCAGTTCCTTGTGTCAAGTGTTAGGAAACTATTTACTATCTGTCTCTTTCATGTTCAATTCCACACAGTTGAGTTTTTTTTTAAATTATCTAAGTGAGGGATGGAAGAGATGACCTTTCATAATGGGATGCAAGATGGTCTATTTTCTTTATATTTCTGAGATGGAAGTTTTGAATCACAGCCAGATTGAGGGAACGGAGATCTGTCACTGCCAACTGCTAAAGTCCCAGTGAAGGAAATCTGCAGCAGTCTCACATGAGTTCCAACTGGGCATGAATCCACAGCTTCCAAACTGCCCAGAAGGGAGGCTAAACTGGCACTAACTTGGCATAAGAATCATAGCAGCTGTGAGGAAATGAAACATCCTTTCTGCACTACTATAATAGGAGGGTCCACACTGAGTTCTATATTGCATCAATCCCATTCATCCATTCGACTCTGTCCTCACTCAAGTGCACTGGCCCCAGCTTACGTAATGGCTAGATTTTAAAATCTACATGTCCTGTTTTGAAACCTTTCCATGTATCACCCACCCCTTTCTAGCTAAAGGTGAACCAATGGATGCATTGTACTTAGATTTCCTGTAGGGTATTTGATAAGATGCCACATCAAAGGCTATTCAAGGAAAATAAATGTACATGTTGTAGGGGGTAGCATATTGGCATTGATAGGGGATTGGCTTACTAACAGGAAGCAAAGAATAGGAATCGCTGGGTCATTTTCAGGTTGGCAGGATGTCACGAGTGGTGTGCCACAGGGTTCAGTGCTGGGGCCTCAATGCTGTACAATTTATATAAATGATTTGAATGAAGGGATTGAAGGTATGGGCATTTCAATTGCAGATGATACAAAGACAGGTAGGAGTTATATAGAGGACATATGAAAGCTATAATGGAAATGAATAGTTTAAGTGAGTGGGCAAAGAGGTTGGAGAGTGCTGAGATGCACAGAGGTTTGGATGTCCTTGTGCCTGAATTACAGATGGTTAGTTTGCAGGCACAGCAAGCAGTTGAGAAAGCTAATAGAATGTAATGGCTTATTGCGAGATTTGATTTATTATTGTCACATGTACTGAGATACAATGAAAAGTGTTGTTTTGCATGCTCTGCAGCCAGATTGCACTGTACAAAGTGTATCAGAACAGAGTGTAGAATACAGTGTTACTGCCACAGAGAAGGTGCAGGGTGAGAGAGAGATCAGAATTAACATTTGAGAGGTCCGTTAAAAAGTCTGATAACAGCAGGGAAGAAACTGTTCTTGAATCTATTAGTACGCCAGTCTGCATCTGCAGTACTGCATACAGCACTGCTCACCACACATATGAATGGATGTTAATGCATTGGAAGCAGTTCAGCAAGGGCTCACTAGACAAATACCTGGAATGAGCAGATTGCCTTATGGGGAAAGGTTAGACAAGCTGGGTGTGTATCCTCTGGAGTTTAGAAGAGTCAGAGGTAACTTAATTGAAATATATAAGATTCTGAGGGGAGTTAACTGGGTGTGGGTCGCTGGGCTGAGCACAGTGCTTCCTCTTTGGCTGTATCTCGAACCAGGGGCCATAGTTTAAAAATAAGGGGTGCACGTTTGATGCAACAATTAGAAGGGGAACATGCAGGAATATAAAGTTGAGATTAAAATCAAAACAGCCATGATCTCATTAAAAACGGAGCAGGCTGTAACAGCCAAATGGCCTACTCTCATTCTTGGATCATTTGTTTGCATTTTTGTAACCTCATGCTGACCTCTTTGACCATCTCCTCGTAAGGTCCGATGGCAAATTTTGTCCGATTAAATTCCCCTGATGTGCCTTTAGATGGTTTGATTGAAAAGTGCTGTATCGGTACAAGTTGTTGTTTTTGTTGTTGTGATTGGGACTAATGGTGAAGGGTACTTGTCTGTGATGCCTTTCTGAACATGAGCTGCCTCAATGCTGATGCCTAAAATTAACGATAATCCCATTGGCCAACATTAATCTCCCTCACATTGATAAATGGTAATAACCTAGAGTGTAGAAGGAGAGCATTTGGCCCATCATATTCATGCCAGCTCTTTGTAAGACCTAACTAATTAGTCACAAACCCCTGCTCTTGCCTCGTAAGCTTGCAATGTTTTTCCCATCAAAATTCCCTGTTGAATCTGCTTGCGTTCCAGATCACGACAATCCATTTTTTGAAACTATTCTCTTCCCTGGTAGATGGAAGAGAGGGGGGGTTCAGATGTGTCTTAAAGCAGGAGAGAAAAGGAAAAGGTTTAAAGAGAGCTGCCCAGAGCTTTGGGTGTACACAGCTGATGATTCAACCACCAATGTTGATATGCAGCAAATCAGGCTTGTATAAATTTCTAAACTTGAAAAAGTGAAGAGAAGGCTTACAAGTGGTCAAACTGGTGGATATGATAGAGTTAGGAGGAGGCAAGATTATTGAGTGACAAGATCATGAAGTGATTTGAAACTGTCTGAAGTGAGCGGAACACATTAAATTGCTTTAAAATCTTTGTTCATCTATATCTGAAGGGCAGACATGGGCTGTGTCACATTATCTCTGTAGTTAATCCTGTGCCAACTCTATTTAATCAGTGGGAGCAAGTTTAACACCATGGCTGACCTTAGAAAGCAGTGTATGGGCTCAAATTCAGTGTAATACATTATTTAGCTCTTCAAAACACCATCCTAATTAGGGCTGTCAGTTTGTATGTAAAATTCATGCTAATCTTTCCATCTGTTTTTTTTAACTACCCCAATCAGTCATGATGGGCATCATATTCATCTTAAAGGTCTCTCTTTGTCTTTTCTTTTTAACTAAAGTATCTAAATGCTTTCATTTTCATTTTGTGCCAAAAAGATTGGGTGGCACGGTGGCTCAATGGTTAACACTGCTGTCTCACAGCCGCTGGAACCTAGATTCTATTCCAGCCTTGGACAACTGTCTGTGTGGAGTTTGTATGTTATCCCTGTGTCTGCGTGGGTTTCCTCTGCGTGCTCTGGTTTCCTCCCAGATTAGGGTGGATTGGCCATGCTAAATTGCCCATAGTGTCAATGGAAGTGCAGGCTAGGTGGATTAGCCATAGGAAGTGCAGGGTTACAGGGATGGGGTGGGCCTGTGTGGGTGCTCTTTGGAGGGTTGGTGAGGACTTGATGTGCTGAATGGCCTGCTTTCACACTGTAGAGATTCTGTGGTTACATCAAATGTAAATGAAGATAAAAATTCTTTAGTCCAGCTGGTCAGTGGAGGTGTTCCTGCCCCACTGGAGCCTTCTCCTGTCCTTAATTAGTTCACCCCATCATCTTCTATTCCACTTCATGTGTTTAGAGCATTCTAGTAAATTGCTACACTCTTCACCTCAACTGCTCCCTGTGGGAATGGGCTTCAGAGTCTCACCACTTTCTGCATAAACATATTTCCCCTCAATTCTTGACTGGGTTTACATTGTGACTCTCAGAAATGTGACCACAAATCCATTGCCTGAACGTAGAGTTGTTGACTGGTCCTCTTACAGTAACCACACAAGGGAAATCTGGCCACTTTCGGTAATGTGTGGTAAAGTGCCATACATTAACAAAGAGATGATCTGACTCCTTTTTCCCTGTTTATCGATTGGTTTCCTTAGGTGTGGTGGGAGGGAGAAGGAGCTTTCGTTGTGCAGTGGTAGTGTCCCTACC